CGATTGCCAGGTCGGGTGAATCAGCCCGTTAAAATGGCAGAACCATCAGGTCTCAACACAAACGTTTTACAGCTCTGATGAGGTTGAGAGCCAAGCAGAGAGCACTGTTCTTACATGGAGGGCAGCTTGCGTGTGCTGTCTCCCTTGGGCTGCGGAGCACATGCTGGCTCTGTTTAGATGGATTGGGCTGTGCTGACAACCCTCTGAGCCCCTCGTAAATGTGCTCTCTGCAGGCCCGACTCACTAGATTGGCCGTTCACACATCCATCTCTTTGTTCTGGCTGTGTTTTATAGGACAGTAAAGGAAGCTGGATTATTTGTCTAAGAGCAAGAGTAGAGAAGAACAGAGAGAGGGGTCACGATCTTCCTGGTTTTGGTTTCTGAAACAGCCTGAACTGAAAAACTCAATCAAAAAGACAGTAAATGAGGGTGAAGTGCTGTCTAGTAATATTGTGAAATATTATTACACTTTAAAATAGCTGTTTTCTATTTGAATATATTTTAAAATGTAATTTATTTCTGTGATGCAAAGCTGAATTTTCAGCATCATTACTCCAGTCTTCAGTGTCACATGATCCTTCAGAAATCCTTCTAATATGCTGAATGAAATGCTGCTCAAAAACTAACTAACTAACTAACTAACTAAAAAGTATTATTATGAATGTTGAAAACAGTTGCCTAATATTTTTGTGGAACCTGTGATGCTTTATTTATTTATTCATTTATTTATTTTTAGAGTTCTTTGATGTATAGAAGGTTCAAATAAACGGCATTTATTTAAAATTTAAATCTTTATTAGATTATAAGTGCCTTAACTGTCACTTTTAAATTATATATAAATAAATAAATAAATAAATAAATAAATATATATAGATTGGCCGTTCACACATCCATCTCCTTGTTCTGGCTGTGTTTTATAGGACAGTAAAGGAAGCTGGATTATTTGTCTAAGAGCAAGAGTAGAGAAGAACAGAGAGAGGGGTCACGATCTTCCTGGTTTTGGTTTCTGAAACAGCCTGAACTGAAAAACTCAATCGAAAAGACAGAAAATGAGGGTGTAGTGCTGTCTCTGCGTGAGGAAATTAATACCATTGCAGTGCAATAAACTGGAGCGCTTAAGCCAAAGTATGCTTCTTTGTACTGTGTGCTTTGAAAGCAAGTAAGAATTGAGAGTGGGAGTGTCTATGTCTAAAGAGATTAATACATTGTTAGAGGGTAATAAGGCCATAGAAATCAACAAACAATAACTAAAACCAAATGACCTTAATATTCTGAAATAAAAACATAAAACAGAATGTATTTAAGGTTTGTTAAAATGTTCCTCCGAGACATCAATGAAGGACTAAAGGAGAGAAGCCTTAAATCCGCATTTACTGCCCATCATTCTGAGGGGCCACAAATCTGTCACCTCAAGGTATCCTTGTGTGATAAAAACACCTTTAATAGAGCGGAGCTGTGACCTAGCAACACTAAAAAAACCTTAAACCCACAACAAACTCTGGTGCTTATGGCCAGGGTCATTCCAACAATGCGATACATTTTGCAATACATTTTTATAACCCCATCTATATGCCTTAATATATTGGAAAATATTAAACTCAGAAATTTGAGTGGATGTTGCCATTCTATTCAGGTGATTCTGAAAATAATAATATAATAATACAAAAAATAATAATAAATAAATTATGTATTAATGAAAAGACTAAGTGAGCAATACAGACTAGTATTTAAGAGCTTTCGAAAGATGTTTTGAAAGAGGACCTGTGCTCAACAAAGCTGCATTAAAATACAGTAAAAACTGTAACATTGTAAAATATTACAATTCAAAATAACCGTTTTCTATTTTAATGTATTAAAATGTGATTTATTCCTGTGATGCAAAGCTGAATTCTCAGCATCATTACTCCAGTCTTCAGTCACATGATCCTTCAGAAATCATTCTAATATGCTGATTTGATGCTCAACAAACTTCTTCTTCTTCTTATTATTATTATTATTATCAATGTTGCAAATAGTTGTGCTGCTTTATATTTTTGTGGAAACTGTAGAAACTTTTTCAGTATTATTTTACAGAATTGATTTGAAACAGAAATATTTTCTAACTTTTTAAATGTCTTTACTGTCTCTTTTGATCAATTTAAGTGCTATTGCTGAATAAAATCATTATTATTATTACTTTTTAATTCAGTTAGTCATTTCTCATTTTCTTTAATTTTTAACATTTAATTTAATGAATGTCTGGACTAGTATTTTATAAAAATATTGAAAACATGAATGTTCAATTGACTCAATGGTCAGTACATTTATGCCTCACTCTGAACATTCTAATATGCTGATTTGATGCTCAACAAACTTCTTCTTCTTCTTCTTATTATTATTATTATCAATGTTGCAAATAGTTGTGCTGCTTTATATTTTTGTGGAAACTGTAGAAACTTTTTCAGTATTATTTTACAGAATTGATTTGAAACAGAAATATTTTCTAACTTTTTAAATGTCTTTACTGTCTCTTTTGATCAATTTAAGTGCTATTGCTGAATAAAATCATTATTATTATTACTTTTTAATTCAGTTAGTCATTTCTCATTTTCTTTAATTTTTAACATTTAATTTAATGAATGTCTGGACTAGTATTTTATAAAAATATTGAAAACATGAATGTTCAATTGACTCAATGGTCAGTACATTTATGCCTCACTCTGAAAGAAGATGCCTTTCTTCACAGATAAATCAGCATTTGTTCTACAACAGAAGATGAACGATCTGCTGAGTGAAAATGCAGTCCTCTGACAATGACAGTAAGGATTTTATGAGGTCTCAGGCAAAGTCAACTGCTCCCTGTGGTAAAAGGGTGCAAAACTATCAATCCCTAGCCTTTGAACTTCTAGTAGTCCAAGTAGTCTTTGCCTACTATTTCATGACACCAGAACCCAAAGCCTGTAATCTGTGGACCAAAGCCTATACTCTAAATCAGGGGTGTCAAACATACGGCCCGCGGGCCGAACACGGCCCACAGAGGTGTCCAATCCGGCCCGCAGGATGATTTGCAGCTGTGATAGCGCGGAATGAGCAATAGGCTTGCGGAGGCATTAAACGGTTCTTTTCTTCCTTCCAAATGGAATGTTGAGCTTTGTTGCACATCGCTGAGAGGAAATTGAATTGTCTTTGTGAATACGTCTCAGCCGATCTCAGGGGACCATTAAAACATTTCGCTCAATCAATGGAAATCTTTGAAGACATATTTCTTTTAATACATGGCTTTGAATGAAGTGTAATTTTTGGAAATATTGTGTTAATGTCCCATTAGAAGACCCTGTAGAATTAAATGGATAGTTCACACATTATTCTGAGCCTCTATGATGTTCTTTCTTTCATGGAACACAAAAGATGAATTTTGAGGCAAATCCTGGCTGATCAGGGCTGTCAAATCACAAAATTATAAAAAGAGCACAATAAAACGATCAAACATGTGAAAGATATGAATGCTATATTCTAGTATGTGTTATATACAACCCAGGCTCATTGGAAAAATGATCCCGTGGCAACATTTATTTAAAATGATATTATGCTGCTTTCTGTTCATTTTTCATCACTTTCAAAGTGTGTTCATGTGAAACAGATGAACATGAATCTGGCAACATTTTAATACATTGTTTGTATGTATTGCAGCAGTTACTGTAAATGTTAAATGGAAATTAAATGTCCGGTGAGTGCCGCTAAAAAGTTAATAATCTATCACGTTTGAAAACAACATAGTACCTACACTAAACTTGAAACTTAACCAAAAGTGTTAACAAAAGCAAAAGTAACATACAAAATACATTTGCTAAAGCAATCATGCCATTTTAGCTCGCTTCTACAAGTCTTTGAACAGTTTTTTTCATGGCTCCTGTTTCACGTGACTCGCAAGTGCAATCCTGTACCAGGTGTGCTACCGAGCAAGTTTGCTACATTCGAAAAGCCACACATATGGAGCAGGTTATGTGATGCAATCATAATTTGTGTAAGAACGTGTTGGCGTTTTACTGACATTTTTTTTTTTGGGAGTTTTGCAAAAATGTAGGTAAAGGAACATGTTTCCTATTAGCCTAGTTCTGTCAGGACCACTATCGTCAAAGATGATTGACAATTAGCATACAGTTTGGATTGGCGGTATGGTTCTGTTCCGGGCAAGAACTCCCTGCGCATTCATGCAGCCTAGCATGGATAAGAGCAGGGAGAGCAGCGATAACAGAACAGAATAACCAGAACAGAACCAGGGTAAACAGAACAGAACCAACAAATGTATTGCAGATATCGTTAAAGTTCAATAATGTTATGTACCCATTTTAGAATTAGTCTGATTCAAAGGAAAATCAGAAGGCTGAATCCCGACTGACAGAGGAGGAGCTGGGGATGGAGGAGGGTAATTAGCTATTGAGCAATGCGAAAACTGCTGATAATACTGAGGGACCATATATATGAATGCTTAGATAGGTGTCATATTCCCATAGGTTGATGGGGATCAGCTGAGAGTCAGCTGATGCAAGCTTGACTAACGTGACCTACCAGAACTAACACTATGCTAGATTTTAGCGATATACAGTATATGATGACAAAAGTATTGAGGAAATGACACTTTGAAGCCATTTGACATGAAACACCATTGGTTCTGATTTTTTTATTTAGATTTATTTCTTTCCTTTCCTGCACACAAAAGCTCTGTATGGTTTCAGAAGACTTGGTGTATAGCACTTGAATCACATGGCCCTCTTTTATAATGCATTTAGGATGATTTTCGTGAATTTTGGAGCTGGACAGTTCCAGTCCAAGTTTGTTTTATGGAAAAGAGTCAGGATATTCTTCAAAAATTCACCTTTTTCTGTTTCATGGCTGAGAGAACCTAGGGGTTTCAGATTAAACATGAGTGTGAGGAAATTATAAAAAAATTTTCCTTCATTTTTGGAAGGGGTGGTGAACTATTCCTTTAATAGTAGGACATTCTGGGATGAGAGACTCACCTGCTTGGTTGGTAGTGATGGTGACCGCAGCGTACTGGCGGATCGTGGGGGCTTGGGAGGACACTCTGTTTTGGGCCTCAATCTCAAAGGTGTAGTTTGTGTGTGCCAGGAGGTCCACTACGGTTACTGTCGTGTTAGTGAGGCCGGTGGCACGGGGCAGGAAGCGCACGGCCCCTAGGCAGGGTTCACACTGCCTGGGACCCGGCCAACATCGCTTACAGACCACGTTAAATATCACGTCCTTCCTGCCTCCGCTGTCAGCCGGCCAGTTCCAGTCTAGAATCACTGATGTCTCATTAATGGCAGAGATCACATTGCGTGGGGCAGATGGAGGTCCTGAGGAAAGAAGATACGTGATATAATATTTACTCATAATTTTAAAATATATATAATATATAAAAATATAGTACAACACGATGAAAATCCATTTGAGCTGTATTAAAATGCATATTCAACACTGACACTGTGAACCAATATTGACCCAGGAAACCCATCTCAACCGTTTCTTCTACACTCTTTAAAATAAAAGTTCTTTATTGGAACTGATAGTTCCATGAAGAAACTTTAACATCCACAAAACCACAAAAGGTTCTTTATAGTGGACCTCAGTTCTTTAGATTATTAAAATATTGTTCACATGATGAAAAATAGTTAAGAACTGTTCACTGAAAGGTTCTTTGGGGAATCCAAGATGGTTCTTCTGCGAGAACTCATTTTTTCTAAGAGACAGCATGCAGACAGCAATGAGATTAAATGGAGAGGAAACAAATACTTTTGGATTTGATTTGCTTCTCAAATCAAAATTCAATGGTCTCAATATGAACTCATTAAATTCTGCCAAAATCAAATTATTTTTATTTATTGGTTTATTAATTTACATGTATTAATTCTCCAAATTCTGCGAGCAACTGTCTCATTTGTGTCTTTTTTTCCGATTTTTCCTAAGGGATGACAGGAGAAACATCTGGGACAAAGTTTATACTTAAATGAAACACAACTGAGAACTCCGTTAAATCTCATGAGCTATGAAAGAGCAATAAAATGTCCCTCTGGGGATGTACGTTTACTTTAAAAAGTGTGGGTTTAATCGTTAAAGTCATCAGTTATGGATGGATACGGAATTTAGGCAGGCATGCCCTCCCCCTTGTTAAAATGCTGGCAAAGCCTCTAGAATTACTCCAGAGTTCAGAAGTGTCCTCACTGGATTGTTATATTAACTTTAAAAGATTGTCCCGATAAAAAACGGGGTATGAAGTGTGGCCAGCGGCCTCTATTCATTGTAATAGCAGGCCTGCACAGCAAGCTGTTATTTGAATAAGTGACAGACTTCTGCGTATATATGAACAAGAGTGAAATCTCAGATTAAAGTAAAGAGATGGACACCAGTTCAAAGCCAGACTGTAAATAATTTTGGAATACTTTGTGAATTTAATATCTGACCTCTGGGTATTATTACATAAAAACTAAATTCCTGCCTTAACGATGGTGGTGAGTGAAGAAATCAGGAGTGCAATGTTGGGTTTGTTTGATCTGACGTGAATTCACACACACTGAAGGCCCAGAGTTTAGAGAGGGTTTCCTGCCTCTTGAACCTGAGAACCATTTTGACAGACATTTTGTCTGAGAAGGAAAGTGGGGGAGAGATTTGATACTACATTAAGAAATAGAACATTACACAAAGGAATCTCCTCCACAAATTCGCTCCGGAACATTCCAGAACACTCCCTGTTGCTTTCCCTTGATTCTGACATGACAATAAATCAGATATTTCGCTTCAAGGTCAAATACAGGATTCCACACAATGGCCTTTTCAAAAGCTCTTATAGAAAGAAGAGCAACATTCCTTGAGGAATAATTCACTCAAAATGTAATTTTATAATCACATTCACCAGCTCTTGCGGAGGGGTAGACTGAAAGACTTTCACTGAAGGTCTTGAACATCAGTCTGGTGCTCACATGTAACTATCGTATGACTTCAGAAGGCATAGAATATAGCATGCAACTGTTTTTTATACAAAGCTAGGATATTTCTTTCAGCATTTATGCTGTGCTTACACTGTAAAAAATAAATAGTTGAGAAAATGTAAAATAAGGCAACTTGATGCAGTAAGACATTTGATTTGTCTCAACAATAGCTTTTTAGTTTTTTAAGTAAAGATACTTTGTTCAGCCAACATAAATGTAGTTGTTTATGCAATGCTGATTGTCTTATTTTGGTAATATAATTTTTTTTTTTTTCACAGCAGCTGAAACAACAATTGCTGTTGTTGAGGTAATTATTTTTTTTCTGTTTCCTGGATGAAAAAAAAAAGGATGTGTAAAAAGTCACCACATTATCATTTTAATGTTTATTTACGAATGACAAACTGGGGAATGCTATAGAAACCTTAATGGGTAACTTAGTCTAATATGTAGACAACATTGTCTTTGTTTGTAAAACACCTTTCAAGACTAAGGTATCCAAAAAATTAATTAAAATTGATTAAAAACTCACAAAGCCTTAACATTTCAGCAATATGAAATTCTTTGTTCAGACAACTGTGTTTGACTAGTTGGGACAACATTTGGGGTAATTTTGTTGGTCTGACAAGGGTTTTTATGTAGTTTCAAGAAAATAGCATTTTCGGTAAAAGCAATTAAGCTAAAATAAAATGTAAATTAAATTTTTTTTTTAGTTTTAATAACAACAACAACAACAACAACAAATCATGTAGCTGTAGCAATATTACCAAAACTTAAACTAAAATTAAAATGAAAACTGAAGATATAAAAATAAAAGCTAATTCAATTTAGGAGTGTCACTATATGAAATTAATTAATCGTGATTATTTCGTTGTTATTGTTAACTAAAACTAATAAAAATCATTTTCAGCAATACACACACACACACACACACACATATTAATTGAAAAACTTAAAACAAAAAAAAGTCCAACTGCTATGCACTTGAATGGGGAAATCTCATAAACTGCTTGCCAAACTCACATTTTTGCAATTCAGAAATAAAATCTTACATGAACACAGTCATACATAATAATAATAATAATAATAATAATAATAATAATAAATAAATAAATAATGTACCTGCAGCTATATTACCAAGACTTAAACTAAAATTAAAATTAAAACTAAACTAAAATAAAAATACATAAATAATAATAATAGCTAAACAAACAAGCAAACAAACAAATAAATACATTACACTGAAGTGGATTTTTTTGATTAACATCTCATTTTGTATTTCATGGTTGAAATAAAATACAAGCTTGAAATTACATGAGGGTGAGAATCTTTTATATTTGGCTGAACAATCTTTCCTACTATTTTACAACACATCCTTGATCTTTCCTTTATATAAAAAATGAGTATCATAAAAAGGAGGTTGTCTGTGTCAGCACAGATAAAAAAAAATGCATTAATGTGCCTCAGTCTGCAGTGGCAACAGCATAAACCAAAGTCTCTTTTTTTATAGGATGGAGGAAAAAGTCGTTATATGTCACTAGGTAACATCTTTGCCAGAGCAAGGCATCCTTTGATCCTCACGTATAATAGACATCACAGTGAGCAGGTAATGTTAACAGACTGGCTGGCCTGTTAGCGGGAGGATGGGAGGTGTGCCAGGGTAAGCCATGCACTACACGGACACTTCAGTCTGACAAGCAGCCTCCAAAAGTGTGACTACAGCCTTCATTATTACCACAGACCTGACCAATCGCCACCAAAACAAGACATTCTCTCTTTGACATATGGGAGATGTTTACATCGGGTATTGATAAGTGGCACAATTATATAACATGCCCGCCGTTGACATTTTCCTCACGTCAAGGATTTACACTGCAGAATATCGCCTTTATGAGGTCATAAAAAAAGAGACAGGCAGAAATAAACAAGTCCATTTATACGTACTAAAAACAGGCATAAATATGTATGCCTTTAAAACATTCACCGGTGATTAAATGCCGACCTTCGCTGACACGACATAGAATGCAACATAAACTGTAAATTTTACAAAGCAATAATTCACGGAACAACCGCCTGTATAATGCAGCCATGACCTGAATTATATTCACATGCAAAAAAAACATCTCTGAAGAACTCCGAATGACCTTCCACAATTATTGCTGATAATATCATGCGTCGTCTTCCTTTAATTGCAGTTCCGCTCTCAGAGCTGCACTTAAAGCGTATCTGTTCCACTGCCTGCATCCGAGCAGATTCTATCAAGATAAATGTTTAAACTCAAGGGCTATGACAGTATGAAGTGGAGAAATTAAAGTCGCACACTCCGTTCAAGCATTTTTCCGCTCACTGTAGCCATCAAAGTCTTAAACTAACATTGGCAATGAATGCTTAAGTGGAAATGAAGACTCAGTATTGCATCCGACAGCCAAAATAAAAAGCGACTCGCATGAGCGTGCATGGCGTGATCTGACGTGCTACCTACTACTCGGCATGTCACGTAAGATACACCCTATTAAACTTGGCCGCGGAATTCAATAAGGCTCTTGGTGGTTTTATGTGATATGAATCAGCACTGATAGCAATGCGGTGATTTATGGATAATGTGTTTTGGAATGCTTGGCAGTCGCTGCATGCATCTGTCTACCATCTGCGTACTTCTCCATAAAAGAGAACGGGTTCGCTTGCAAACCCGAGGAGGCCTGTCGGTTGAAACGGTTAAAAATAAGCAAACACGGGCTATTCTCGGTGGGATAGCTCGAAGGCCGCTGAGGGGGTATTGGAAGCTTTGTCAGAACGAGCCAACACAAATTCATCAATCCTTGAACAAACACCATCCTTCAAAAAGCTCCGGCGCTTCCGAGGGCTGCGCGGCGAACAGGAACGCCGCGTTTCAAGTAACATAAATAGTTATCCGTACAACAACATCACTTCTAAATGCTTGTGGAGATTCTGCTGTCCTGCACTGTTGTGTTGAACATCTGTGTACGCCTTTGTGTTGTGGGTCAATCTGACCCAAATTGGTTTTCATGCAGTTTGCCAAAAATCAAGAAAAAAAAAAAGGAAAAAAAAAAAGATTCATGTAACAAAAGAAAACCCATAAACAATTATTTAGTATAATTGAGGTACTGTTATATTTTTGTTTAATATTTTGAATTTGTTTTTTTCTTTTCTTTTCTTTCTTTTTTGTAATTGTCTTTGTAGTTTTTATTATTATTATTATTATTATTATTTATTTTTTAGTTATTTAGTACATCATGTTAAACAAAACGAAATTGAGAAATGATGTGTTGGCAACCAGCGGAAATAAAATAAGAATATTAAATAGATTAAATAACTCAAATATATGAAACATTGTCTTTGGATGATTCAGAAGACTAGTTTTCAATTTCATATGTTTCATATTTTAGTGTCATGTAATCCCATCAATATCATGTATTTTATATTTTAGCCTTTGACAAGCTACAAATAAAGTTTATTTGTCCTGATTCTATTTGTCCAGCCTTTCCAAAACACATCTATGTGTCGAAACTTTGCAATGACCCGAAATTAGGAAAAGTCACAAAATTACAAGAAGAAATCAATATTTAAACTAGTGTTTCAAGCAGTTAAAAAAAATCAAGTGTGGGTCAAATTGAGACAATTAGGAGGCTTAACGGTAACGTCAAACCTATAGAATCTGGAGAAAATGTACTTATGTAGGTTAGCAGCACGTACGAGAGCAGGCCATCGAGACGGGGTCCTCTTCCGCACGGAAGTAGGTTCTCTCGCAGTCGCAGTGCACGGCTTCCTCCTGGTGCGTGTAGCTGTGCGGTGGACACTTGGAGCACTTGACGTTCCCAGAAGAGGCCTTATAGAAGCCGGGCCGGCAGGCTGTGGAGACAACAACAGGAGGGAAGACAAATTAGGATGCTGGGAGTCTCTAGCCAACAGGGCCATTCATTACCCCATTACTATGCTGCCACTTTTAATGGAGCGAATCATTTCACATGACCATATGCATCGGCGGACACAATGGAAAGTCATTTAATCATCTGCACGGACTTAAACAAACTAATAGCTGTACCAACAGTGCTGAGACGTGGGTACGGCCGGCCACACGCACATGTGAGTGGATGTTATGACCTCATAGGAAAGAAATATTGTTTCAAAATGACAAAGAGATTAAATGGAGAGCAAAAGTAGACTGCTTCTCAGTAATCTCACAAGTGTCACCTAGAGAGTTGACTGACCCCAAATTTTTGAATGGTAGGTTTAGGGCAATAAGTCTTCCTTAAACAATAAATTGTTTAAGGAATGTTGTTTTAAAAGTTGTTAAAGTTATTAGATTAAAAATTTTCTTGATAATGGCATAAAAAAAAAAAAAAAAAAGAAGACAAATTAGGATGCTGGGAGTCTCTAGCCAACAGGGCCATTCATTACCCCATTACTATGCTGCCACTTTTAATGGAGCGAATCATTTCACATGACCATATGCATCGGCGGACACAATGGAAAGTCATTTAATCATCTGCACGGACTTAAACAAACTAATAGCTGTACCAACAGTGCTGAGACGTGGGTACGGCCGGCCACACGCACATGTGAGTGGATGTTATGACCTCATAGGAAAGAAATATTGTTTCAAAATGACAAAGAGATTAAATGGAGAGCAAAAGTAGACTGCTTCTCAGTAATCTCACAAGTGTCACCTAGAGAGTTTCAGAAGAGACTTCAAGAATGTCTTCAACTGTCAACATTTCAAAGTCCGAAGTCTCATTATGAGCTCGAACATTCCTCATCAAATTCCAAGACCAAATAAACCCAATTAAATGGTATTATTGTCTATCATAATGAAGAAAAAAACATTAAAAATTAAATACCAAGAAAGGAAAAACAGGAAATTATATCAACCTAAAGTTAAAATATTTTTTTTACTTTATTTTATTTTATTTTGTTTTGTTTTGTTTGTTTTAGTGAAGTCTCTTATGCTCACCAAAGCTGCATACATTTATTTAAAATTTCAATACAAAACAGTACTATTGTTAAATATGATCACAATTTAAAATAACTGTTTTCTATTTTAATATATTTTAAAATGTAATTTATTTCTGTAATGCAAATCAGAATTTTCAGCATCATTACTCCAGTCTTCAGTGTCACATGATCCTTCAGAAATAATATGCTGATTTGCTGCTCAAGAAACATTATTATTATTAAAAACAGTTTTTTGACCACAAAAAGCAGTCCTTGAGGTATTTTAGGAGAAACATCAGAAACAAAGTTTATGTTTGCCTGAAACATAATTAAGTCTTTTGAGCTATGAGCAATATGAGCAATAATTTTTCCTCTGGGAAATGAACATTTAGGAGGATTAAGTCAGAGCTGTGTGATAAAGTATGTTTAAAAATACTTTTAAAGTCTCCTTTAATGTCACATTCAGCTGAGGTTGCATGAATTATGCAAATACATCTCTCAAAAAATGGAAAAAAATATCTCTGCTATTAAAGTGTACTCGTCAGCTCATCCATCCCTATTCATGAGAATCCCATTCCATTACCCATAATGAAGAGGGGAAATCATGATGAGATGGCTAATTACTGTGGCTCACATGCATCTGTATTCCACTCCCCTCTTGTTGCAGGTTCAATATCTAATACAGTTGGTGAACCAAAGCTTCAAGTCAGCACCATCCTCCTAGAATCAACTGAATTCTGCTTCACGGCAAGAAAACCGAAGGGGCTTTATTATAATAGAAGCAGCGAGGTCAGGATCTTCTTCTCTGGGAATACAGCAAAAGACCTTACGGTTTAATAAAGGTTTGTTTTGGGGTCGGATGCAACCACTTCCAGCATATCAGTGATGTTTATTACCTATCTCACAGTCTACATGACATTCCCACAGCGCACCTACATGCCTGTTGTTTCTCCTGAGAGGTTTCTTATGCAGAGTGTGAGCAGAAGACGCCATGGAGAGTAGCTGTGATGCATGGGAATGCAGGTTTATATTAACCTGTCTCTCCTCCGAGGCTCTCCATTAGGGACTGCACAAAATGAGGCTGATGAAAAAAATGCAGGTGCTCTTAATAGTGTTTGTTACAGGAAATCTAATCTGACACACTGCTACCTCTGTAAAGTCCCAAATGTGATAAACACAGATCTATGTCGCAAGAATATGTCTGAGGACATATTATAGCTCAGAGGTGGCTTTTTCACAGCTTAGGAGAGACGCACTTTTTATATTCTCTTATTTTGTATGTTTCTCCTGAAACTGAAGGATTTCTCAGTGTTGTTATAGGGATAGTTCACCTAAAAATGAAAAAAATGTGTCATTGTTTACTCACCCTCAAGTCATTCCAAACTTGTATGAGTTTCTTTTTCCAGCTGAACACAAAAGAAGATACTTTGAAGAATGTTGGTAACTAAGCAGTTGCTGGTAGCCATTGACTTCCATAGTATTTTTTTTCTCTCTCCATACTATGGAAGTCAATGGCTACCTTCAATTGTTTGGTTACAGACATTCTACACAAAAAGAAGAATGAAACTCTTACAGATTTAGAACGACACGAGGATGAGTAAATGATGACATTAAAGCTAAATTACGTCTAAAACTAAGATTATTAAAAATATTTCAATTACCATTTTTAAGTAATTGAGATACAGCTGAAGTAAAATAAAACATTAATTGGTAAAAAAAAAAAAAAGAAAGAAAAAAAATGAAATTAATTAATAAAAAACTCAATATTAAAAATAAAGAAAAAACGTAGCAAACTTAAACGAAAATTAAAAAAGTTGCCTTGGAAACTAACTGAAATAAACAAATGTAAGTTTAAGTACTAAAATTACTACAAATAAAACTGGAAAAAGCCAAATAGAAATATATAAAAAATTAAATTAAAATTAAAATGACAAAAGCATGGCAAATCTAAGCAGAGTGCGAGACACTGTTGAGGTCTCATCTGTTAGATTACAATTTTTGTTTTCTAAAAATTCTCCATTTGCTCTCTTGGAGAAACAACTGAGATCTCGTTTGTATGTAGCCGGATAGAGAACAAAAACTGATTTCCTTCCAATCATTCTTGATTTCACAACGCCCTTGACATGCGATGACCGTTACTTATAAACAGAAATAAATTACACAGGCCAAAAATAAACAAAGGAGATGCAAGACAAAGAGTGGCGCGGGTCAGTGAAGCAGGTGATGATGGAGAGAAAGGTGCCCCAGTTTCTGTCACACGAGCGCTTGTACTTGACAGCTCTTTAATAGAAGCCTGGGAAGCCAATGGCTCTCGACGGCATCAGCCTCTCCTCTCTCCAAACCCTCATACTGCAGTGAAAGGCTATGAATGACATTACCCAAAGCTGTGCCTGCTCTTCCTCCACGTAATCTGAACGCCTCAGATGTTCAGTGGAGCGCTGAGTGCGGGATGATGTATAAGTTTGTGTGTCTAACACGACGTGCTGAGGTGGAAGCGCTTTGTGTGTGTGAGCTGGGGCTGTTATTGATTACACGTGTGCTGCGAGGAGACACTGGGGCTCACTCCCGGGCTAACAGGCACGGGAAGGGAGTGAGAGCGCTACAGAGGGGCGCTGAGGTGATTTCTCATCCAGGCCTCCCAGCACACGCTCCATACGCACTCGCTCTTAACAAGAACACACACGTGCTGTCCCAGGAGCCAGCCTTAATAAGGATATGAGAGATGATCTTATTACTTTGTCGATCTTTTCTTCGCTATCTTGACGAGGTTTGATATTGGGGAGGTCGAGTAAAAACAAAGAGCTGTGAAAGAAATCTTCCCAGAGGAATGAAAAATCAATCGTTTCTAGACAGCAATGAGATGAAGAGCAAACGGCGCAAAAGATTAGAAGAAATCTCAACAAATGTCTCAAACTGCGCTTAGACCTGCCAAGACACCAAAATGCGCACTTGACAATCGTTTATAAATGAAATTTTAATTTAGAAATTGAAAATATTCATCATAGAGGTGTATTCAGCGTCGTGTCACTGATCCAAACAGTTCAAAAACAAAACAAAGCAAAGTAAAGCAAAGCAAAGCAAAGCAAAGCAAAACAAAATAAAACAAAACAAAACAAAACAAAACAAAACAAAACAAAACAAAACAAAACAAAACAAAACAAAACAAAACAAAACAAAACAAAACAAAACAAAACAAAACAAAACAAAACAAAACAAAACAAAACAAAACAAAACAAAACAAAACAAAACAAAACAAAACAAAACAAAACAAAACAAAACAAAACAAAACAAAACAAAACAAAACATTGACGAGGTTTGATATTGGGGAGGTCGAGTAAAAACAAAGAGCTGTGAAAGAAATCTTCCCAGAGGAATGAAAAATCAATCGTTTCTAGACAGCAATGAGATGAAGAGCAAACGGCGCAAAAGATTAGAAGAAATCTCAACAAATGTCTCAAACTGCGCTTAGACCTGCCAAGACACCAAAATGCGCACTTGACAATCGTTTATAAATGAAATTTTAATTTAGAAATTGAAAATATTCATCATAGAGGTGTATTCAGCGTCGTGTCACTGATCCAAACAGTTCAAAAACAAAACAAAGCAAAGTAAAGCAAAGCAAAGCAAAGCAAAGCAAAGCAAAACAAAACAAAACAAAACAAAACAAAACAAAACAAAACAATACAATACAATACAATACAATACAATACAATACAAAACAAAACAAAACAAAACAGTGAAATTAACCTTCCCATTATATATATATATACACACACACACACACACACTATACAGTATGTATATGTGTATATATATATGGATTTTATCATTTATTTATTTACTTATTTATTTATTGTTTTAAGCATAATTCATTTGTTAATTATGAATCCATTAACAAATTAAAAATAAATAAGAAT